TTTATCATACATGTGCTGCTCTGTATGATAAACTAGCATGAACGACAACAAACCCCGGTACCCTCACTAACGGGTCCGGGTTGCAACACACACTAATCACACAGTGAATTATGTATCATAACGTTTCACCACAATATCTACTGTCTGTAGGGGAAAATAAAGAAAGGTTCACCTTTCGCCCAAAGTTGATTTGTGCAGCTGATATCTAAATGTGGTTGCAATTGTTGAAAATTTGAACAGTTTGTGTGAAACAAGATGCACCTAGAAGTCTCAATGAATCACGTTAGGGAACAGTAAGGCTGACCGCTTATTTTAACAGCTTATCCGTGCACTGTGGGTTAGAAAAATGATGTGAACCCTTTGGAACTTCCTGGTTTTATGCATAAATTGGTCATTAAATGTCATCTGATACTCATCTAAGTCACAAGTATAACACAATGTTGAGCTAATCACACACAAACATTTATAATCTTTCACGTCTTTATTGAACACACCCATTAAACATTCAGAGCACCGGTGGATAAAGTGAACCCTTGGATTTAATAACTGAATTTAGATTTAGTTGTGTGTTTTCCCAAACTCCGTGGGCCTTTTCAAATGACCAAAACCATCTGATTCTCAGTTTACAAGGGACTTTAGGGGCCTCTCTTACCTCATTCACACCAACGGTGTTTCAGGGCCGCTTCGGAGCTGGAGCTTGAAAAGCACCGGGTTTTCCTGTTCACACCGCAGCGGAGCCTCTTAGCTCCGGAATCCGGTTCATTTCGAGCACCAAAACATTGTCAGAGCAAAAGCACCAAATACGTCAGGCTTACGTCGAGGCGGGGGCAGGGGCAGGGGCGGGATCAACTCCTGAACAACAACAAAAAGCCGGCGTTTTATCCAGTTTGTACACAACGATGGAGAAACTTAACAAGCAGCAGTGGTCCACTGAAGAGACCAGCTACCTACTGGGAATCTGGTCTTCCGAAGAGGTACAGAGGAAGCTGGAGCACAATCGGCCATTGTTGTTGTTGTCGGTGTCAGCTGTGAGGGGTTTCCGCGCGGTTTGGCTTTATGAAGCAGGCACGCAAACGGTTACGTCATGACGCAAACAATGACGCAATGATGCAGCACCAGTCGGACTCTGGGCAGTGTGAAAAGATCCGGAGCTAAACCGAAGAACCGGTTCTGAACCTGAAAAGCTCTAGCACGGAGCTTGAACCGGAGTTGCGTTGGTGTGAATGAGGTAAGAAGCCTCTTCCAGAATAAATGGGTTTTTGTGATCTGTTTTGAAGTATGAGTCTAATAATACAAAAAGGCACGGCACACACTCTGGATATAATTCATCCTTCAGTGCTTTTGCTCTGTTGCATTCACAATAAAGTTGTATGTGACTAACGATATATCATGCTTGGTAAAAAAGTTGTTGAACTTTACTTTACAGCTGATCCACTGCTCTTCTGCAAAGTACTGGAGAATTTTCAGTTTCTGAGCAGTGAAGCACAAATCTAAATCTGGCGTCATGAATTATTAAAGCCCCCTTTATGGAGCTTTCTTCAGAGGAGAAAATCCAGCACAGTATAGTACATGCTTGAGATCAAACGGAGCAGAGAAAAAAGGCCAAATGTAATGCAGGAAGTATTTCCACCAAAGTGTTCCGCGTTGTTCTGCACTTGAACATAGCGGCAACTTCAGTCAGA